TATGATTATGGAATTTTGGTTTTCTCTTTTCTTTTCTAAACCAAAACCGATCCTAATTTCCTAACTTGGTATCTAAGAAAAGAGTGGGATATTCTAGTGTTTTCTATAAAGAAAAATATGGCTAATTCCAAAGAAAAACACAAACTTTATCTTGAGCCGAACATTTTTTGTCTCAATAAAAAGCACCAACTTTTATTCGAATCCCAAATCTGGCCTCCATAATGTGAAATTTTCAAATTGCCAGGTTAGAGTTGGGATATAAGTGAAAATTGATGATTTTTTATGAGACAAAAAAAAATTCGGGTCAGAATTGTCACTCAAGGTAAAAAAAATTTTTTTTTTGGAATTAAGCCAAGAAAATGTCTTTTATTCGAATAGAAGATAATCAATTCTACTAAGAATTAGTTAATGATTATGAATAAATGAATTGAGCCGGTTTTGTCTGCTACTTCCAATCATCTATGAGATCAACTATCCAATGTTTTAGTTTTGTCATTGTAATTATTCAATTTAATGGGATCTGTAGTGGTTGGTAAACTTAGTTTAGTTTACAGTTTTTGGTTTGTATGTAGCCGCTAACTTGGGTGTATATTTCTGTAAGTTTGTAGCTAAGGAATGACTTCATTCTTTTTTTATTATGATTTTCTTTTCCATATTTTCCTTAAGTTTTCCAAATTAAATTGTGGAGTGATTCTTGGTTAATTTCTTTCTACTAATTTCTGGAATAACTTAATTACCAGCATTGTGATGTCTATACATTTTGTCCTTTTCTTTTTAGTAGTGTTGTTGACATGTATCTCGAGGGACTTGTTAAGTTGGAAATAACTCAATTTTCTAGGTAATGCAGATTTGACAAGTGTTCCCGAAGATTGATTGTAAAAATAAGTACGCCTTGGACACCCATTAATAAAATCCTTCTTTTAATTCTTATAGTTGACGCCACCTATGATGAGAGGAAGCTGCTACAAGTTACACGTGGCAATGTCAAAGGACAAGCAGGAATCAAAATCATTTCACCAAAATCGAAATCATACTCCCTTGTTTCTTTTCTTAGGTGAAGGGAATAGATGTATTCATGACATCAAGCGATCCACATCAAGATCTAGAGACAGATTAGATGTTCTTGAGTATTGTTCAAATAAAATAAAACACCGACAAAGATAAAATTACATGCACTGCATATCATGCATAGTTTCAATAACGAGTTATCCGTAACAATGATCATTATTAAATTCTGCAAATTAAAATTAACTCTCAAAAGTTTATAAAACAACGAATGTGATATCACATCGATTTATATCTCGATTTTGTAAATCAATCTTAATATATATTTATTGCTATTTTAATATTGATATCGGTAAAAAAGAGGAAATCATGTTGACACTAGGTAAGATATAATCTTCATCCTGGTGTCAAGAAAATGAATTGTGACTGGACCCATACTCAAAAACCTTTTTTTTATTATTTTCTTTTTCAAAAGCTTTTGTTGTGTTGGACAATGAGATGCTTCCTTTTAGATTCCCACTCTTAGTTTAATTTAGGGTTTTATATTGTTTTCTTTACTTCAGTGACAGATTCTCCCTGTCTAATTAATCAAACAAAACATGGGAGGTAGGCCCTCCTATGTAGGTAGCAAATGCTTGTTCTCTTCCTTAATCCTTGTTTTATCCGTCTGCTAACACCAACAAGGAGGTTAATAAACCAATAAAAGAAAAAGTCATCGCCATTATATATGTCACCCAACAACTCATACAGTTTTCAACATCTTCCTCTCCTTCTCTTGTCCTCTTTCTTCTCTCCTTCATCTCCATTTTCTTCATCTGCATTTTCTCATTCAAGAACCTTTTGCTTCTTTGAAACTCCATTTGTGAAGACATGGGCCATGTCTGTGGAGATGAGGGAAAGATCGTTATATGAAGGAAAGCTTCCAGCTTCAACCATGGTCAAAGCCAAAGGGTTGGCCTCTCTTGATGGAAATACTCCATACAAGCCGTGGCCAGCGCAGTTTCCTCAGCAAAAGAAGATGATGACTCGAGGAATTGTTTTTTAAATCCTCTAGGCAAGTCTGATGCTTCGCTTTAAATTTAATTCCCATCATTTTCTGGTTCTTTTCCCCTCTTGAAACCAACTCGGTTTCCAGAAAGAGTTGAGATGAGAGTTAGAGAATAAAAAGTAAATTAGTTGCTAAGAATTAATCCATAGATTTCATTGGTGCTGTGTAGTTTTCTTGGCAACTGTCTGTCTTTCCTCTTTTGACATTGTAAAATCAGCAAGAGATACTCTCTTCATCTCTATGTAATACCCAAGAAATTTACTTCATTGCTCTTATCTTCCCCCATGTTCTTTTTGTCCATTTGCACTTATCGAATTCTAATTATCCTAACCCAGCTTGTGAACCTTCTATGTTTAGGTATCATAAGGTTATATACATGACAAGCAGTATTTTATGGACATAATTCTGTGAGCATTTATATGCACGTTATCTTTTGTTCCATGTGATATGGAAAGAGTTTATGAATGCTTTTAAAAATGTGTATGGACCTTGTGTAGCAGCTAGTCCTTCATAATCTAATAAGGCCTTCGTTTAGATCCAAAGCTCAAAATTTTCACTTTAGAGGATTTTCTTTGAGTCATACAAATCACTTGTGGTGATGATTTACTGCATCTTATTAAGTCCTTGTGAAATCCCACAATCTCCGGCGCCCACATACAACCTAAGTTTGCGAGAGATCTATTTCGTTAACTATAGCAATGGAGCGTATGATGTCTCACTTATTGATAAATGATGCGAAAGATATGAATAATGAAACAGGATATTATATGATAAGTTCTCAAACTTACCGCACGAAAAGTAAGGTGGGGGGCCCTGGCGGTGGGTTGCTGGGTTAGTCTCCCCTGAGATATAAGCACTCCGCTTACCTGTGCGGGCTCGTTCCCAGGAAATGGTGTGGATCCTCGGTTACCAAAAAAAAAAAAGTAAGGTTTTTACCAAACATCGACTTTTGATGTAGTTAGTCGTGGCTCATCGGGTATCGTGCCGTCGGCAAATATGAGATGACATCTCATTACCAAAATCAAAACATGGGTTTTTGTTTTTCCAATGAACAGATTTTTGCAGGGGTATATGGAAATTAGTAGTTCCTGGCATGCTTCAGATGGATGAGGAAAGAGAGAAATTGCAATCTCTACAAGTTTTTGACAGGGACCAAATCCTCCATGTCAATCTCCAATAAGTCTGCAATCTCTCATCACCAAGTCTAGCAAAATCAGCAACTATCTAAGAGGCAAAACAAGGAAGGGTAATTAAAGATTATACCCAGCTCAAATACCGCTCATTATCGAGCGAACAAGACGATTTGCATACGTCCACGGAGATAGATTAAACCGAGGTCCAAATATCCATGTTGACAAGAAAGTAGCTATCTATCCGGTACATATTAATTTCCTTTTACAATCTGTCTTATACTACTTTCTACTATTTATATACACACGATCTCTTTCCCTCACCAGTATGGAACTGCACATCGAATCAAGGAAATCAATTTAAAAATTCATGGTCCAATTTAAGTTTTCTTTACGAAAAGAATAAAGGGAGGAGAAAGAAAGTCAAGGACCAAAGTATCCCCTTCTCTCCCAACTATCTGTCAATGGGGAAAGCCAGATTTTGGGGTACGGATCCGTAGCTTTCGGAAACTTAATGGAACTTAGGAATTGTGATTGGCCATATTTTAAGGATAGGGACGACGATTCGACTTTAGTATATTTAGCTTTTGCATGATTGAAATCCTTGGTTAGTCACCATGTGTCCATCTTAGTGGGAAAATGACGTGCAACTTGGGAAAAGAGGAGGAAAAACAGTTAATAAGGACGAGAGCCATCATTAGAAAATTTTCTATTGGTTGATGACTCATCAAGAATCGAGATAGGTTACTGTGATCTTTGGGAAAAAAAGAAGAAGACTAATATCATTAAAAAATCCAAAACTAGAACCCTAACCCAATGCATGCGCGTCATAAATACGTAAATTTTTTATGTTAAATTTTTCATTTCTCACATCGGACCCGTCTTGTAGTTATCTGCCACGTATGTATTGATTGCCAGCAGAGAGTAAAATTGGGCGGGGTATTGGTTTGATTTTTTTCGCAAGACCAGAATTAATTTGGAATTAATATATCGTGTGAATACTAATTTATGATTTTTCGTAGTATTAGAAAAAATTCTTTATGAAGGACTCATAATGGATCACTTAAATTGAGAAAGATTCAAATAAATACGAGAAGCAAAAGCAAAGAGAACAACAACCGACACACTTGGCTTAAAGATTTTGCTCTGATCTACCTTTTTCTTTGAAACCCCACTAGGAGAAATTGAGGTTTTTTTCTTTTTTGTTTTGTTTTGTTTTGGTCGAAGGAGAATTTGAGTTTGACTTGTGGCATCTTAGCTCAAGTGGCAAGCATAACACAAACCATCATACACAACAAGAATATCTTAAGAATATCTTATTCTTGAAATTAGCTTGATCTCTCTTTTTCACATGAGGATTGATGGTGGACATGGGAGCTTGCGCAAAAGCGCATTGGACAACTCAATAATGAGCTCTTAGATAATAAGGTTAATGTGGGCTGCCTGCCTTACATTAAACTTCCAAGTGCCCGTCTACCTTTTCTGGATTAGGCTAAGTTGTCTTCGAAGAGTAGCAGAAGTTTATTTTCATATCCACTATGGTGGATAAAGTTAATATAGTTATACTTAAAGAACTAAATGAAGCCATGAGGGTGATCTTGTGTATGCCCTGTTTCACAGCTTAAGAAGAAACCAAATTGTATGCCAATTCCCTTCCTTTTTACCTTCAATCTGTCACACAAGTGACCACCATGGTTATTTGCAGAGTTCTTCCAAATTTTGCAATCTACATGACATAGAATAGCCATAAAGTAGGAATTATCTCAGCTGAACAGCCGAGCGCCTGAACAGAAATGCATACTTTCGTTGGCAAAAAGTTTGAAATCTGAAGCAAAAATTGGATTCCCATTCCATGAAGGCATGTTACAGTTTAGACACTCTTGTTTGAAAGAGGAGAACTTCTAAGCTGGCCAAGATTCCTCAATAATTTACACATCAATCATTGGGTAGCCTATGTGATAAGTTACAACAGAGAAGGAAGAAAGAATTACACGTGGAGATGGTGCTGCCTGTCAACATAATAAACACATGCTTCTGCTACCGGCTCAAATCTCGCGCTTCAAAGCCTCTAATGAACGATATGATAGCAAGGTGCTCCAAAGAATAGGTCATGAAAGATGCCAATATAAGGCCTCCACCAACCATCAAACCCAACCCGTTGAAGGACGCAAAGCATGCACGAATTTGTTGTTTTTGCAATCCTCACTCAAGCGTCATAGCAAGGAAATAGCAAAGAACATAAAAGAAACATCATAAGCAATCAAATTTCTGATCCCAAATGATATAGGAAGCAACAGATCAGCATGAAACTTGGTGTAATTTAAATTAGTAAAGAGAATTGGGGCATTTTGAGAATCAAACCAAAAGAATTACCTCGCGAAAAGAGCAGTAATCCCGAAAATGCATGGCAAGGCTGGGGCCACCATTGCCAAAAATGCCATGCCCGACCAGTAACAGCAGGTAGCAATATCATCGTATGCTCCATTAGAAACACCAGAATATGCGTATGCTCCATCGAAAAGATGTGCATTGGCAAAGTCGCTATAGTACAAATTTACAAAACCCTGATCACCAGTGGAATGAAAAATGTCAGAGACAGGGAGAAGAGGAACAGAGTGTATATAATAAGAAGATGTACATAGCTTTCTTTTATTGTGAGGTTCTACAAGGACAAAGAAATTGAGACAGTTTAAAGACAACCACAACAAATCTAATAGTTCGAAGTAAGAAGACTGGTGATCCAATTGAGACCGAGTAATTTTGTGCCACTTGTGAACACTAGAAGCCAAAATCTTTCCTGCCAGCAAGAAAATCTGGGGTTTGCATCTTGACCCTATTAGACCCCATCACATGCATGTCCTTACTCAAGAAAATTCAATTGGGACAAAAACTCCATGTCCTTCTCATCTACTTCATCCAGTATTTCATAAGTAAGGATAACTGTTTAGATACGTTGGTACAAACTCATCCTTGGTCCATAATCAAGTCAAAATCCAATCATCATAAATCATAGGAGCTAACATACTCGAACTAACTAAACAAAATAAATTGACATTACATCACCAGCCGTTAACATTCAGAAAAGACAATTACCTCCAGTGTAAGAATACAGGGTTTGCACTTTGCCCATCATGTCACTAAAAACAGTCTCAGAAGGTTCCACTACCATGACTCCAGAATTAAGCCTCTCTGAATGCTTCAAGTTAGCACAGAATTTCACGCATTTAAACAGATCCTCCATACTTTTAACCACAATAGTATCTGCGTCCAAGTATACAACTGCACAAAGAAGGGAATGTTTTCCTCCATATGAGAATATAAGAAAAATATCCGTACGCACATCATCTACGCATGATAATCCAAAAACTCAGCCATCTGAAAATGAACAAGTTCACTTTGCTCGTCCATTTTAAGTTGGCATTGTTGCCCCAACAATCCCGAAACATAGAAACATGCATAATAGCCACAGTCACCTTTGTTATAGCTAGTCATGTTGAATATTTTCAGTTTGGTGTAGACACCCCAAAACCTAGCCGGACGCTTTTGATTGGGGCTGGCCAGTAGACTGATCTTTTCCACTATCCAGCCATCAGCCTGCACAAGCATCCCAAACATTTCAAACTCAAAGACCACAAAACATTTAACTCGGTCTAAATTACTTCCTTGGTTAAACTCGATGACACGCCAAGGGAAAACAGGGGACAGCAACGGACCCAATTAATTTCCTACCACAAATAGCGACAGAACGAGACAGCAGCAACCGCAAAGCTGGAGTTACCCAGAATCTTACATTGCCTTAATTTTCTCAGGAACCAAATTACCCAGTTCGAGTAGAATTTTTTCAATTCTAATGACACTGATCGATCAATACTTCTGTTTCCAGGATCCTAGGTGACAAGCCGACCTCGAAGACGTCATCTTTTAAAAAGCCATTCCAACTTAGCAAATTATGCACTTAAATCAGAAAACACTCAGCAGAACATAGCACTAAGCACAAAATCAGAGTTTCTTAGCTCCTTAAGCCACCTCAATTTTCTGAGAAACCAACAAATCCTAGACCATGATCCGCTTCAACATGCTGTCGAACCGGATGCGCAGCTGACTACTTCAAAAGCAAACGCAAAGACAATACTGTTTTTTCCGTTCCGCAGACTACACGTGTGTGGTACAAAGAGAGACCCTGGAGGAGCTTCTTGGCGTAATAGGAGACGCCGTTGGAGACCAGAACCACCATGTCCTTGGTGGCCCCAGTGTCGCGGATCGACTTCCCCAGCATGCGGACTCCCAGCAAGTACTCGTCGCCATACGGAACGTGGCGTATGCCTCGCCGCCCCACGGTGAAGGCTGGGATCCGATTGGGGCCGCCGGACGGACCGAGAGCAGCAGGATCGCGGCCGCGAGGAGGAGGAGCGGGGCACCGCCGCGGCGACTCATTTGGGAGTGGCGGCGGTGGGAAAGCATACTTCGTCCAAAAAAAAAACACGGGTAAAGTATTCTCCAATGAATATTAGCAAACAAACATTAGTGGAAACGTGTAAGATATTGAGATACAAGAAGAAAATGGTTCTTTCAGTCCTGGGAGAGCAAAGCATTCTCCACTGAACATGTATTCGGCGGATTAGAAGCATGCTGAGATGCTATCTCGAGGCCACAAATTCATGTGAATCATACACCTGTCTCTTGACATGGCCACATTTCTAGAGTTGAGTATTATTAGAGGGTAAAAATGATGAGGAAGGTTTTATGGCTTCAAGATCATCTTTTTTTTTTTGCTAAAAGGCTTCAAGATTATCTTGCATGAAGAGAAAGGTTTACTTTGCCTATTTGCAACAAAAGGCTTGGGGAATCTCATTCTGGTTTAACCACTATTTGATATGGGCACCAGAAATGGCATATTGCTGCTAAGAAGACGGACAGAACAAAACCATATATAAATTAGGAAAGGCCGGAGTACTTCACAAACAGGAGCCACGTGTATTAGTAGGTTAATTGTCTTTTATGTTCTATTTTTTCATGAAATCTTAGTCCGAAGGAGGGAGACTAATTTTTTCCACTCATAAAATCTTTAGCGTAATGCATGTAGCTTATACAAGAAGTTTTGCAAATGCCAAACTAAGTTGTCTATGATTCACTCCAAAGGTCCAGTTTACTCGGCCTGAACAATCGGTTGCTTATTGGGTGATTTGTATCTAATTGGATTCAAGATATGCATTCAACTCGATAGGATACTCTTTGACCTAACCGTAATATGAGAAAATTTTCTAGTGCCCGTGATATCCTAGAACCTGTTATTTTTTCCATATATTAAAATTGAACTCTTGGGGGGTTGCGCTAAATCTCTGACTAGACTAGACGCGGGCGCCATCTTAAACCCTAAACGTCCCCTCCCAAAACCACACCTCCTGCTCCCGCTCTCGCAAATCCCGCTCCTCTCGTTCTAGCCATGGATTTGGGTCAGATGGCAGGGTATTTTGGCGGCGAATTTCACAATGTCATGGATCATAATCGTCAAGTAATCGGAAGGTATTTCGATGCGAATTCCGACGTCGATTTCGACCGGATGGGAGCCGTCGGCGTTTATGCTATAGTTAATTTGTATGGGACGTAACCCGCCGAGGTTCATCAGGTCTATTCGATGAGTATGATAGGAATCGATGTTGGACTTTTTGTCTTCTCCTGCAGTGGAGACTATATTGTTTTGCCGCAACAAGAGATCAGGAGTTTCCATGAGGTATGTTTTTTTTTTCCCTTTCTCTTTTGTTGGCTGCTTGAGTTTCAGTCCCTTAGAAATGTTTTATTGAAATGGTAAATGTTTTTACTGAATTTCACACAACGTCATGCACGGATTCGCATCTTAAATTTCCGTTCGTTCGGCCCCCACTGCCGGCGGCCGCACCGGCAGCGGCGATGGAGGCAGCTGCAGCACAGTGATGGAGGTGGAGGCGGAGGCGGAGGCGGACGAGAAGGAGGCACCAGCCGGGTTGGATCCACTGGCACCATGACTATTTCTGCTAGGCATTGGCATAGGTCAGGCTCGATGTTTTACTTAGATCATTGTTAAGTCTGTTTTACTTAAATCATTATTAGGTCGTTCCTAAAATTGTAGGCGAGGACCACTTTTCACGGCCTTACATCTATCCTCTCTTCGGATTCACTTGGATTGCGCTCTGCTTTGCTGTTTTTAAATCCTGGATAGCTGGATTTGAGTTTTTAAATCCTGGATAGCTGGATTTGATTCGCTTGAATGCCGGCCAACCTCGCGACCTCGACTTGGGGGTCGGGTTTCGTATGATTAATGTAGATATGACTCGATGAAACGATTGCAAGCTTTGAAAAAAAAATTTCGTATTTATTAACTGGGCCATCCAAAACTCAAACTTTACTCGGAGAATTTGAGGTTTTTTTCTTCTTTGTTTTGTTTTGGTCGAAGGAGAATTTGAGTTTGACTTCTGGCATCTTAAGCTCAAGTGAACACAAACCATCATACACAACAATGAATATCTTAAGAATATCTTATTCTTGAAATCAGCTTGATCTCTCTTTTTCACATGAGGATTGATGTGGACATGGCGGCTTGCGCAAAAGCGCATTGGACAACTCAATAATGAGCTCTTAGATAATAAGGTTAATGTGGGCTGCCCACCTTACTTTAAACTTTAAAGTGCTCCTCCACCTTTTCTGGATTAGGTTAAGTTGTCTTTCAAGAGTAGCAGAAGTTTATTTTCATGTCCACTATGGTGGATAAACTTAATATATTTATACTTAAAGAACTAAATGAAGCCATGAGGGCAATCTTGTGTACGCCCTGTTTTACAGCTTAAGAAAAAACCAAATTGTATGCCAATTCCCTTCCTTTTCCCTTCAATCTGTCACACAAGTGACCACCATGGGAATTTGCAGAGTTCTTCCAAATTTTGCTATCTACATGAGATTAGTGCATAGAATAGCCATAAAGTAGGAATTATCTCAGCTGAACAGTCGAGCGCCTGAACAGAAACGCATACTTTCGTTGGCGAAAAGTTTGAAATCTGAAGCGAAAATTGGATTCCCATTCCATGAAGGCATATTACAGTTTAGACACTCATTTGAAAAAGGAGAACTTCTAAGCTGGCCAAGATTCCTCAATAATTTACACATCAATCATTGGGTAGCCTATGTGATAAGTTACAACAGAGAAGGAAAAAAGAATTATGCGTGGAGATGGTGCCGCCTGTCAACATTACAAACATATGCTTCTGCTACCGGCTCAAATCTCGTGCTTCAAAGCCTCTAATGAACGATATGATAGCAAGGTGCTCCGCAGAATAGGTCATGAAAGATGCCAATATAAGGCCTCCACCAACCATCAAACCCAACCCGTTGAAGGACGCAAAGCATGCACGAATTTGTTGTTCTTGCAATCCTCACTCAAGCGTCATAGCAAGGAAATAGCAAAGAACATAAAAGAAACATCATAAACAATCAAATTTCTGATCCCAAATGATATAGGAAGCAACAGATCAGTATGAAACTTGGTGTAATTTAAATTAGTAAAGAGAATTGGGGCATTTTGAGAATCAAACCAAAAGAATTACCTCGCGAAAAGAGCAGTAATCCCAAAAATGCATGGCAAGGCTGGGGCCACCATTGCCAAAAATGCCATGCCCGACCAGTAACAGCAGGTAGCAATATCACAAGAAGATGTTTGTCGTTGACGACCTGCACAGTATAAACGACTCCTCGTTAATATAAAAAACACAAAATATGCACATCAAATGCCAATGCTCCAAGTCAACCAGCCTTTCTCAGATTCATGGTCAGCATGTGCAACCTTTTGAACTGCTGCTGCCCTTCCAAGTTTATATACCAAATGGAGATAACCTCTGAACAATACAAAGAAGACTGCAAATGTCCACTCATACATCAATAGCAAACCAGTCCACGGTATTACTTGCCGAGGCACAACTGCGAGAGCCAGCAAGAGAGACACAGCAGCTGCAGCGAAACATACTATTACCGATATCCCACCCAAATACACAGGGATCATTGACGGTGCACCATGTGAGAACTGTTAGATAGCAAATCAACGAACTTATAGTTAGAAAGATCACCACTGATGCTTTAACAGAAGCATGAGCAAATTACTGTGAAATCTAATATTTTAAGGTGTTGTCAATGAAATATTAGTAAAACAAACATGGAAAAGGAAGTAACCTGCTGGTTAAAAGTAATGCCAGATGCCGTGGAAACACCAGAATATGCGTATGCTCCATTAAATCTGATTCTATGTAAAAGCTGTCTAATGTTATCACCCAATGAACTTCTGCAAGAACGACATTGCTGCAATACCTACACCAAATCAAACATCAAATAATCAAAATGACTATTCCTAACGAAACAGAATGTCAAAGAAGAATAACCAAAGGATTTCCATGGACTTCCAACCTGGGGAAGAGATCGGTAGTACCCAAAGAACAGAAGGCAAAGAGGTAGCAGAAAAAGGAACTTCACTAGAAACTCATCATTAGGATTTCTTTCCCCTCCAGTTCCAGGAAGATAATCAGCAAGTTGTTCCCTCACATTCTGTCATATGCGAAGTTAAACGAGTTTCTATCACCAAACATACAGATCACTGCATAAGACAATAACAGAATTCATGCAATTGCACAACCGTGCATGGTGTCTGTCCCCCTTTCATCTAAACAGCGCAAAAACCACCAGAGAAGAAGTTGGATATGATACCAGCCACACATCTACAGGTTTCAGAAGCCAGGATGTCCACCAGTCCCAAGGTTTAAGGGGTCCAAGTGTATAGTGAATAACCCGGAGTTCACTTTCATCGACCATCCACTGTTCAGCAACATCATGGACGTCAGTATCAAAACACATTCAGCAATAGAACTGCATTTGTGCCTAGGTTGTGTAAGTGCTATATTGTGCATCCACAAAATGTAACCAGATCGTATATCAAAGTTTCTTTTTTCTTTAGAGCATTCATCTTTCGGGCATCATAAGGGTGTAGCGATCAAAGGTTTTATTAGGCGCTACTACAAGAACAAAATAAACCTCAGACAAGACCTACAGAAAACAAAAAATATTGCAATGTTTTTCAGACAGTGAGGGCTCATTAAAATGTTAAGAAAGACGCACCTACCCCCAAAACACCAACTCTAAAAGGGAAATAAAAAAGGATGGAAAGAAATCCAAGAAGAAGCAAATACAGCCCTGCTTTCTTATCTACACTTACCATGCCGATAAAATAATGTCTCAATGAGCCAGCTTAGTGACTTGTTTTCACATATAGGTAGCCATACCTTGTTTGCAAGCATGTAAAGACCAACATCTGCATTGTATAGAGTAGAAAGTCGCTCCATTTCAGGAACTGGTCGAGATTTCAACACCTCTGGGGATAAATTTGGCTCAAACAGATGTGCATTGGCAAAGTCGCTATAGTACGAATTTAGAAAACCCTGACCACCTGTGGAATGAAAAATGTCAGAGACAGGGAGAAGAGGAACAGAGTGTATATGATAAGAAGATGTACATAGCTTTCTTTAGTGTGAGGTTATACAAGGACAAAGAAATTGAGACTGTTTAAAGACAACCACAACAAATCTAATAGTTCGAAGTAAGAAGACTGGTGATCCAATTGAGACCCGAGTAATTTTGTGCCACTTGTGAACACTAGAAGCCAAAATCTTTCTTGCCTGCAAGAAAATCTGGGGTTTGCATCTTGACCCTATTAGACTCCATCACATGCATGTCCTTACTCAAGAAAATTAAATTGCGACAAAAACTCCATGTCCTTCCCATCTCAACAAAGTCTACTTCATCCAGTATTTCATAAGTAAGGATAACTGTTTAGATACATTGGTACAAACTCATCCTTGGTCCATAATCAAGTCAAAATCCAATCATCATAAATCATCAGAGCTAACATACTCAAACTAACTAAACAAAATAAATTGACATTACATCACCAGCCACTAACATTCAGAAAAGACAATTACCTCCAGTGTAAGAATACAGGGTTTGCACTTTGCCCATCATGTCACTAAAAACAGTCTCAGAAGGTTCCACTACCATGACTCCAGAATTAAGCCTCTCTGAATGCTTCAAGTTAGCACAGAATTTCACGCATTTAAACAGATACTCAATACTTTTAACCACAATAGTATCTGCGTCCAAGTATACAACTGCACAAAGAAGGGAACGTTTTCCTCCATATGAGAATATAAGAAAAATATCTGTACAAACATCATCGACGCATGATAATCCAAAAACTCAGCCATCTAAAAATGAACAAGTTCACTTTGTTCTTCCATTTTAAGCTGGCCAGTAGACTGATCTTTTCCACTATCCAGCCATCAGCCTGCACAAGCATCCCAAACATTTCAAACTCAAAGACCACAAAACATTTAACTCGATCTAAACTACTTCCTTGGTTAAACTCGATGACACGACAAGGAAAAACAGGGGGGACAGAAACGAACCCAATTAATTTCCTACCACAAATAGCGACAGAACGTAACAGCACCAACTGCAAAGCTGGAGTTACCCAGAATCTTACATTGCCTTAATTTTCTCAGGAACCAAATTACCCAGTTTGAGTAGAATGTTTTCAATTCTAATGACACTGATCGATCAATACTTCTCCTTCCAGGATCCAAGGCGACAAGCCCACCTCAAAGTCATCATCTTTTAAAAAGCCATTCCAACTTAGCAAATTATGCACTTAAATCAGCAAACACTCAGCAGAACATAGCACTAAGCACAAAATCAGAGTTTCTTGGCTCCTTAAGCCACCTCAATTTTCTGAGAAACCAACAAATCCTAGAGCATGATCCTCTTCAACATGCTGTGGAACCGGATGCGCAGCTGACTACTTCAAAAGCAAACGCAAAGACAATACTTTTTTTTCCTTCCGTGGACTACATGTGTGTTGTACAAAGAGAGAACCTTGAGGAGCTTCTTGGCGTAATAGGAGACGCTGTCGCGGTGGCCCGGGTGTCGCGGATCGACTTCCCCAGCACGCGGGACTCCCAACAAGAACTCGTCGCCGTACAGGAGCATGACGTATGCCTCGCCGCCCCGCGGTGAAGGCTGGGATCCGATCTGGGCCGCCGGACGGACCAAGAGCAGCAGGATCGCAGCCGCAAGGAGGAGGAGCAGGGAACAGCCGCGGCGACTCATTTGGGAGTGGCGGCGGTGGGATTTTCTCGAGAAAATCGGGGGCGTGGGGAGGAGATTTTCTCGAGAAAATTGGGAGAGTTTTTTTGAATTTTCGGGAGTTGCAGTTTTGGTTCCGCTTCTTGACGCCGGTATTGACTCTTCTTCTTCAAGTGCGTGAACAACACCGGAAAAATGAAAAATGCAAAAATGAAAACAAAATTTGTCTTTTCAGGGAAATATCTCCCCTTTTGTTTTTTCCAAGAAAAAAATCTAGGAGCATTTTTTGGAGCTTCCATTGCCCCGGGATTTTATATTTGTATGGCGAACAGATAGCCACAGTGTGATTCAAGTTTTAACTTGAAAAAGTCCACACAAAACACGTTCAAAAACTGAGAAAGCACACTTCGTCCAAAAAAAAAGCACTGGTAAAGCATTCTCTAATGAATATTGGCAAAGAAACATTAGTGGAAACGTGTAAGATATTGAGATACAGAAGAAAACGGTTCTTTCAGTCCTGGGAAAGCAAAGGATTCTCCAATGAACATGTATTCAGCGGATTAGAAGCAGGCTGAGATACTATCTCGAGACCACAAATTCATGTGAATCATGCACCTGTCTCTTGACATGGCCACGTTTCTAGAGTTGAGTATTATTAGAGGGAAAAAATGATGAGGAAGGTTTTATGGCTTCGAGATCATCTTGTATGAAGAGAAAGGTTTACTTTGCCTATTTGCAACAAAAGGCATGTGAATCTCATTTTGGTTTAACCACTATTTGATATGGGCACCAGAAATGGCAAATTGCTGCTAAGAAGACGGACAGAACAGAACCATATATAAATTAGGAAAGGCCGGAGTACTTCACAAACAGGAGCCACGTGTATCAGTAGGTTAATTGTCTTTTATGTTCTATTTTTTCATGAAATCTTAGTCTGGAGGAGGGAGACTAATTTTTTCCACTCATAAAATCTCTAGCGTAATGCATGTAGCTTATACAAGAAGTTTTGCAAATGCCAAACTAAGTTATCTATTATTCACTCCAAAGGTCCAGTTTACTCGGCCTGAACAATCGGTTGCTTATTGGGCCAGTATGATGGGGGTTGAGAAAAAACAATACGAGCACTTGAAGGGGTCAAAGATAAATCCCCGTCAAAAGCATTCAAAGACGAGGACAAATAATTCCTCAGGTCCAGTAAGGATAGGATCTATAGATATTTCCTGGACAAATTCTGCAGTCTTCACTAGACTCGCTCAATCATTCTTTTATCTGCTTTTCACGAGTCAATTAGTCTTAAGAGAGCTTTGGTATCCAAAACCAAGTAAAATCTGTATGCTTTATAGCAGCAAATAATGCAGTAACTCCAAGTATCAAAAGATTTATTGAGCAAGTCGTGTTGTTATATCCACAACTGGACTTGCTCAAAAAGCTCGAATAAACTGCCTTTAGTGGATTAGGGGACAAGAATCGAGGATCATATTATTTGGTCCCTCATACATCAATTCACTAAGTAAGATAAAAAACTTGATTGCATTCTATTGACTTATGTTACCAGACAGGTAGAGTAAAAACTTGGAGTTACCTGTCCATTAAAAAGTTGAACGAGGGAAAATGGCCCTTTCTCCCGCATTCCACCATTTTCTTCAAGCATCCTTTCCAAGTCCTGCCGGTCAATCAATATGTCATCTCTAGTTTCAGAGGATTCACTAAAAAATTGCTTAAAAAAAAAGGATTACGTTGACAGAGTGAGGCAAGGCAGCATTTGAAGGTGTATGGACTTACATGATCCCCACATAAGCAGAAACCAAATCAAGAAAACAAGACAAAAAGTATATGGCTCCATGCTTTGTAAATTAGTTTTCATGAATAGCATTCACATACTGAAAGAAAACCAGATAGAGCTTGACAACAATAGCTCATATGTGAAAGAACAGAGTCTAATCCGCATTACATATACCATTTCAGCCAGGATAGAACTTAAGCTCAACAGGTTGACATTGACATAAATGAAGATGATAGGAAAGAGACGAAGGAGATGAGCAACCATCTGTGGAAAGGGCTGCGAGAAACAAGGGACTCAAAGGACAAATGGAAAAAGGGTACTAAAAAATCAAGAGAAGAATTGGCTAAGAAAGGTATTATGATGATAAGAGAGGACAAAGACTTTTCCTCAAGTATTATAAGGAAGAAGCTAAATAAGATACAGTGGTATGATAAGCTCCTAAGAATAGACTTGTAACAATATAAGTGACATTCTATCATTCACTCCATATAATATTAAAGCTATTAAAGTAAGCTGGACACCTCCAAATCTACCTTTCCAGTCAAGATTTCAAACTCCAGCAACTCGTCGACAATCTTTTCGAGAACTCAACGATTTTTCTGTAACATTTCCTTTGCTTTGTAATAAGCCAAATCATACATCTGCAAAACAAGGATCCATCAAAGAAGGAACATCAAAGAATCTCGCAATCAACCAGAGATTTGCTGCTCTTTCAATTCGGACTATCGGATATAGTAAGCCAAATAGCCTCATAGCAACAGACACATGCCTTTTCAACTTTAGCTGCAATCTCATATTCATGGTTGTTCCCCATGCTCAAAGCTGTAACCTAGTGAAATAGAAACATACAACCAGAATTAAGCTAAAGCGCATCAAAGATTCCCAGCCGGAACATGAAGCTTGAATACATGACAGTATTGTTGAGTTTGATCATCAATGGTTTATTTTACGATCATAAAGTGCATGCAAAATGGAACAGAGAAGTGCCGCATTACTGTGATAGTAAATTGCAGGACTGTCATCAGGCCCCCAACCGTACTGAATGACCATCCTTGTCGCTATCTGTCACAGGGGGTGTATATTAATATATACATCTACATGTATTCAGCTTTCACTGTGAGAATATCAACAAATTTCTCAAACAATAATGTTACAGGACCAACCTCTTGAGCTCGCTTCAGTTCAGAAGAAGAGAGAAAATTCTCTTCCCCAAAAGGAAGTAGAAGCTGTGAAGTGACATACAAACCAAAGCAAAATACAAGCTTCTTTTCAAGGTATGATCTTGACTCTGAGTTAGCATTAACAGATCCTTCACTCCGTGCCTTGGTGATCTTGGTACAGCCAATTCCCTGCAAGAAAGGGGCCAAAGCAAACATCTTTATAGGACTAAGGCACTAAAATACCATAAGACATGCCGCTGCAAATAACTGCCCCAGCAAAGAGGAGAACAAGAACAACCCAGGACACATGGATACACTGTTATGTAGCACAATGATAATATGTCTGCCAGAATACTCCAATAATAGATAAAGCTATAAATTGACATCTCATGTCAGTGTGTTTGACTGTTTGATATCCGGTTTCATATGAAACTCCCGATGGAGGCCCTTAGATACAACAGCAAGGATCATGACCAACAGAAGCATGAGACTGATTCACGAGTGCCCAGATAGAGAAGGTAATTTACAGGTCGATAGCATGACTGGATGACAATACTACTGAATGAAAAGTTCGATAACAAACAACATGCCAGTGCACATAGCTTGAAAAGAGCCAAAAAGAATAACATAAACAAGATTAAAATGGTGAGCTGCATCCATGAAGGATAACATTCACTGTTCAGCAGTACAACGAAAATCCCTAAACTAGGAATATGGCTCTTGCAGGTACTTGCTCATAAGCTTAGTAAGGTGCATGCTATTTCATTACAAGAATGAAGGAGAGAACAGTAACCTGCCACGAAGATGGTTCAAGCCAAAAATTGTCAACCACATCAAAGTTAGGTAGTAAAAGAGCTATAAGGCCAGGACCAGCTGCCCAAACAGCATGGGGGAACTTGTTTCCCTCTGTCCACTGTCAAATCATCCAAATTATATAAGTTGCCTCAAAGAATCCAAAGAAACTTGTACACATAAAGAAATAATCATTTGTTCGCTCGTTTGGGTATATCAAGCTAGCCAAATTTTTAGAAAGATGAGTCGTGCTAACCCCACCACGTTCCATTTTTTACCACTTATTTTGTGGTACTCCTGATTCTTTAGAACACGTAAAAAAGGAAACAATACAAATTTATAGATCCGAATCTTGTCAATTTTAAAATTGTTCAGAAGACAATAGCCCAACATAGTCCAGCGAACTAATAGTAAGCATCCAAGTGAATTAATTGAGCATAACTCCACATTCCACTAGCTCAAAATAGATTGGAAAGGACACATACATCAAGTGGACGATTAAGAAGTTCAACTCCATTGGTTATTTGACCATATGGTTCCATTAGATCAACAACATTCTGCATGTCCTCCTCAGTCAGTGTCAGCCCCAGATGATTCACCAGCATTCGGCTAATCTGCCTCGCAACTTTTGTTTGCCGAATCCACTTAGGAACCATATGTTTGAAGGTCTATGAAAAATAATGAGTGAATAATATGCACATAGTAAAAGATATATCACAAAAAAATATAAATGGGAGAATTCACATTATAGTCAAGGAAGTAATGTGAACAGAAACTTCTAAGAGGAGAAAAAGCAGCAGCATGACTCACGAACAGAGAAGTTACGGGCCATGCTTTCGAAGATATTAAAAAATCAATCATAGTCAACAAGCAGTATAAATTTTAGAGTGAAAAGATCCCATAATTCCTATTATAATATACAATCAGGCTCCTGTTCAACAGTCTCTTTCAGCAAAATTATGACTAACATCAAATAACAATATATCCCACGATTGAATTGGAAAACATCTAATTAAGAGTTCAATCACTTTGTTAAAACTGGCTCATTTTCATGAATTATCCCAACATGTCTAAACCAGCTGGCACGTAAGCTTATCGGCTACTGCATCCTTCCTCAGCCAGCTCTTTCCATTGAATTTATATGTACCACCAATCAATCTTCTCACTCTCATTGGATTTAACACTTATTTGCCCATTTGTGCATTATTTCAGGGAATTCTATATCGTACAAACTTGCATACTAGAGCAACTAGACCCGATAGCAATGAATCATCCCAATATATTCTAATTTGGGACAATCCCTCCAATTCACCAAATATTGATTCAGAAGAAAATTATTTACAATGATAGACTAGCAATCTGATTGAGGACAGTTGATGCCATTTAACAAACTTGATATATTGAGAATATCAAGCAGGAAAGCACCAGTAAGAACACTCAAGCAATATCCTGACCCCAAAGCCCAGTGCAGTTTTAATCATAACCTTACCGCAAACCAACTGCAGTAGCTCATAAGCTCATCTGCATCAACAAATTTGCTATGAAATGCACTTCCTTCCAATCCCACAGGAACAAGTTTCAGGTCTACTCTATGAGTCTTGTAGGAGTCGGTGTTGGACTTTTCCTCCTCTCCATGAGTGGAGATTATACTGTTTTGCTGCAATAACAGGAGGTTTCAAGAGGTTTGTGTTTTTTTCTCCCTCTCCATTTTGTTGACCGCTTGAGTTTAAGTCCTTAGATGTATTTTATTGAAATGCCAGTAGATTATGCTGAATTTCGGGCATCCTTATGCACGAATTCGCATTTTAAATTTCCGTTCGTACATCCCGGCACCGCCTGCTCCGGCGGCACCGGCGGCAGCGATGGAGGCGGCGGTAGCAGAATTGTTGGCGATGGAGGCGGACAATTCTGCTACCGCCGCCTCCATCGCTGCCGCCGGTGCCGCCGGAGCAGGCGGTGCCGGGATGTACGAACGGAAATTTAAGATGCGAATTCGTGCATAAGGATGCCCGAAATTCAGCATAATCTACTGGCATTTCAATAAAATACATCTAAGGACTTAAACTCAAGCAGCCAACAAAAGAAAAAGGAAAAAAAAAATACAAACCTCTTGAAACCTCCTCTTACCACAGCAAAACATAATAATCTCCACTCATGGAGAGGACTCCAAGACCGACTCCTACAAGACTCATCGAGTAGACCTGATGAATGCCCACCGGCAACATCCTGTACAAATCAACTATCGCATCAAACTCGTATCCCGTCGAAATTCACGTCAGAATTCATGTCGAAATACCTTCCGATCACTTGACGATGATGATCCATGACACCGTGAAATTCGCCGCTAAAATGCGCTACCATCTGACCGCAATCCATGGCGGGAGCGAGAGGAGCGGGAGCTGCGAGAGCGGGAGCGGGAGGTGTGGTTTTGGGAGGGGACGTTTAGGGTTTAAGATGGGCCATGGTGGGCCCACGTGTCCAGTCAGAGATTTACCGCAACCCCCAAGAGTTCAATTGTAATATATGAAAAAAAAAAACAGGTTTCTAGGATATCATGGGCACTAGAAAATTTTCTCATATTGCGGTTAGGTCAAAGAGTATCGTATCAAGTTGAATGCATATCTTGAATCCAATTAGATACAAATCATCCAAATCAAAGTAAATAAGATCCTTACTTTTACTTTTTATTTTATTTTATGAATAATTGAATTATTCATAAAACAAATCTTATGTTTTCTCCTTTACCAAAAAAAAATCTTATGTTTTCTTCATATCCATGCAATTTTCTAGTTCATAGAAGTAAATTCTCGGTTTTTTATTATTATTATTATTTATTTGTGGATTTAAATCAACTTTAAAAATAATAATTTATCATGTATATATAAAAATATATATTTAATATACAATGTGTTTTAACGTGTCGGAATTCTCTATTTTTTAAGAAATGACATGTCTCGTGTCGTGTCACATATCGCGTGTCAATGTCGGTGTTACATGGGTTATACGTTCGTACATGGGTTATATGTCGGTGTTAGTGTCGGTGGCCGGCCCGGCCGCCCCTCGCCCATGGCCGACGAGGGGCGGCCTCGCCAGTCGCCAGCGAGCCCGCCCATGGCCGGCGAGGGGCGGCCTCGCCTGTCGCCGGCGAGGGTCACCTCACCTAGATCTGGCGAGGCCGCCCCTCGCCGGCCATGGGCAAGGCCGCCCTCGCCCAACCCTTCCCGGGCTTCGCCGATGGCCGGGCCGACCACCGGCAACCGCCCGGCGAGGGAAGAAAAGAAAAAAAAGAAAAGAAAAAAGAGAAAAAAAAAGGAAAAAAATTATTTAAAATAAAAAATGCTGACTGTACACGCTGACTCATCCTCCGGCAAGCCACGTCGGCGTCAAAAATTAATAAAAAATGTCACGTCGGATTTCCGACCAAATTGGCACTTAAGTGATCTCTTTTCCTCCGACTTGACACCAAAGTTATCCGAAAAAAAATTATGACATTAAAATATCCTTCATACATAATTTATGGCACTTATAGTGTTGTTTTGTCCAGAACTTAAAGAAGTGGTCACCAATGTCAAGGAAAATCCGAGGAAAAAGGTTCAACAGTGCTACGAAAATGAGATAAGCAGACTATATGTCTCTTCTTGTAGTCTAACCAAGTCTATGCTATTTAAAAATTCAACAAAAGAATAGGGTGGACAAATTAAGACCAACCGTTGATCTTTCAAAAAAGTGGATATATAACTATCATACGTAACAATGACATGCCTGTATTCTTCAGTCCTGTCTTAGGCCGGTCCAATAAGTCAAACCGCAGAGCAGCTTCCAGGTATGAAGGAGAGCAATCCCCAGAAAAAGACCTCAAATAGGCTTCTAATAACTTCAGCTCTCTTACCAGCAAGCATATCCATTTGTACGAAAGGACCTATAGCCATATACACCAATTTCTCCAGCAATTGTTGATCCCAGAGAGCATGAAAAGTGTTCGATCTTCGGTACTTCAAATAGACCCCTGCATGAAAAACCAGTATACAGGACGTGTAGTGCAGAACTATCAATATATTAGGTAAAAAGAAAAAAAGAAATCGAGAGAATGCAGTAAATTGAGAATCGCATAATTTCTACAAAATGTCTCGTGTATGCATGATGGTATGCATCGCAAATATGAACAAAACATGATTATCCTCACTCCACTTAAAAAATGAGATTTTTCACTAAGACGTTGAAGTCCGATATTTTGCTCCTTCGCACAGGGGACAAATTAGTTAGTTCCTTCATCAACAATCTGAAAGAACCCATCGTGTCAAGCCCTTCAGCATGTTGGATGCTATTCATGAGTTTAATAACCAACAAAATCTTACCGTGCATGCCCACTGCATCGGCTTCAATGATGCCGTGTCCAAATTAATCATCTCATATGATATTGAGGGGACATCACAAGCTAAGTGGATGCAACGAACCTTCGATATCACAAGCTAGCAGATAGACAAAGATAAGGCAATAGAACGGAGGATAAATCGAAGCAACAGAATGCAGTGCGGCAATTGAACTGCTGATACCCTAGGTGGGTCCCAATCAGCGTCGAGATCATGTTCTTTATTGCTAATGTAACTGAATAGATAATATTTCTCGCTGAGCTTAAATCCTTCGAGAAAATTCTTTTTCAAAAGCATAGACTCATATTTCGCTTTCTCGCGAATTACTATAATTGTACTTTCAAGTTGAATTCCAAATCTTCCGTACAGCGAGTTCATCAACATCTTGTACACATATACCATAGAAATTTCACTTTGGTAGGAGAAATACGAATAACCATGATTTAAAGAAAAGGCGGCATTTCGTTTGATAAGGAAGATTTCCTTTATTATTGGGCTCGATTAATATCTAGGGTAGATAAAGAGATTTGCAAGGCCCCTTATTTGGGATTTAGGGAAGCCTCAGTTAGCTTTACACCTCACGTGCGGTGTTTTGAGTGCGAGGTAATAGCGTTGGCTGTCATGCGACTCTTATTGAAGTGTGCATACCATACGAGCGCAAGTTATGGTAAATTTACCTTAGGTTATAATATGAGAATACCTAAGGACGATTCATTAACAGGCTGAGAGAACATTATTCATAGCGAAGCGATTACCTTTATAGTAGGCCCCACTATATCTTTGACAGATAATGATGGAAATATGCACCCTAACATGGATGTTTTTTATCGGGTTCTCAAAGCTGCCATGAAAAAAGCAGATATATAAGGGGTAGGAGTGCTTTCTGGGCTCTTCATTCGAATCTATCTTAAAGATGATTCGGGATCTAGTGAGATTATGTTGGGCCTGAGCTCCGAAGAATTAGCTCGCATAATTCAAGAATTAATGAATACCGAAAATTCTAGTAATTATGGTAGTGATGAAGAAAGAAAGGCTTTACCTATTAAGAAAAGTAAGAAGAGTATTCCTAAATATATAACACACCACAACCCGCGGATAGCGAAACTGAGGCCCTTCATTGTAGCTGATTTAGAAACGGTTCTAGTCAATGACGAACATGTACCTTACGCAGCTCGTTTTCAAGTGGTCCGCCCTGGTGAAGATGTCGCTGCCAAGCCTGATTATTCGATAGAAACTTATTTCAGTGAAGACCATCTTGGGTTAATTGGGGAATTTGAAGATAGCAGCAACAGAATGTTCTTTCTCTTTATAGAACGTCTAAAAGCTGTTGTGAGAGCCAAAGGAAATAATTGAATTCGAACCGTTTACTTCCATAATTTAAGACGATTTGATGGTATTCTATTAATCAAATATTTTGTTAATAAAAGCCTTAATTACCGTATTAAACCAGTGTTTCGTAACCATCTACTTTAGGGCGCATACTTCATGGCAGCTTTGAGAACCCGATAAAAAAACATCCATGTTAGGGCGCATATTTCCATCATTATCTGTCAAAGATATAGCGGGGTCTACTATAAGGGTAATCGCTTCTCTATAAATAATGTTCTCTGAGCTTGTTAATGAATCGTCTTTAGGTATTCTCATATTATAACCTAAGGCAAATTTACCATAACTCTCGCCTGTATGGTATGCGCTCTTCAATAAGAGTCGTATGACAGCCAACGCTATTACCTCGCACTCAATATAGGTGAATCAACTACGAATTCTCTAGTTGGCTGAACTAGAATAAGTTTCAAGATGGAGAATACTGAAAAAGAAAATTGGAAAACCTTTTATTAAGGAATATATCAAGGCTCTACTTGAAAGCCTTAAACCCTTGTCGACATGGGCCATAGCCCTATACTCAGCTTCGGCACTAGATCTGGCGACTTTTGCTTCTGATTCTTTTGTTTAAGGGGTATTTGGCTCTGAACTCGATGGTACCCGTCCTTTCCTCACTCTCCGGAGAGAGATGGGTGGATCATGCTTGAGGTGGAGACCTTATTCTGTTATTCAAACATTTTTCTAGTTTAGTTCTGCCATGGCATACTGTGTCACACCTATAAACCTTCAAACAAATAGGAGTCGTTTCATATAAACTAGCACCCCTTCCCTCCCGCGAAATTCCCAGAATGGTTGTTGTCTCTATTACCCCCCCCCCCACTGGGGAAGACAGGCTTGTTCAATGCCCACTTTGAAGAGTTCATTCTTCCTTCCCTCCTTCAGCCTGGAGAGAAGTATAAATCAGACTCCCTAGATGGCCGGGTGTGGTGGGCAATCGATCGATTTATGGGCAATCAATCCCTCAGGGTGGTGGGCACTCGAGATCCACTTGTCAATATATAAATCATCTGGTCTTTCATCATCTGTCGGCGGCTAATAAGATGTTAATGAATTACGGTTGACAATTACGCTTCCTCTTCCACTTGGTTTGGTAGAGACAAGAACCTCTTCCTTTCGTACGAAAACTAGACTTCGTATATCTCCTCTTCCTAAAGAGGTCCTCTTTTGCTGGATTCGGTGGATTCGACTCCAGCAGATGTAGGTAGTACTGTATCTTCAGGATCTTCGGGCATTGTTACATCTGACGATGCCCTTGCTTGATATGGAAGACTTGACCACTGCTTTTTATGTATTTGATACAGACAGCCCTCTAGGGTCGCAGATCGCTATGTAATTTATCAATATCTTTCCGGGATCGAGACTTTGTTGATCGTGTATGTTGAATACAGCTGCTTGTCTTCCTGAGGATTTGTGTGTCAAAAAGAGTGCCACCATCGGGCGGATACCCTCGGAGATCATAGTGAATACATTTGTGTTGGCAATGCTTCCTAGACACTGATTGGAAAATAAATAGACTTTCTTTTTTTTTGAAAAATGGAGTCTGTCAATTCCTGAAAAATATCTGGCTTTCTCTTTCTCTCTAGTATATTTTTTATACTAAAATATACTAGCCTTGCCGTGATAAGCAAATTGGATGGTCTGTCTTTTCTTCCAACAGACCATGCATATAATGTTTCACGATAGCACTTTCATTTTTGCTTTTGCCGAGGACTTGGTTGCCGGGTCTCCTCCGCTACTTTTCTTTCTCCAAGAGCCCCTTTTCCTCACAGACTAGGGGATGAATCTCGATACCTAAAAGCAGTTTTATAAAGCACTGCTGCCACTTCCTTTGCTACCGGCTTCTTTCAGTCGTAAAGTCAATCAAGAGGCTAAACTCGATCCATCTTTCCGGCTTAGCCGAACTCCTCCTCCTCCTCCTCCTCCTCCTTTAAGAAGGCTTTTAGGTAATCCATAGTAGTTGAGAAATCACCCCGAGTCAATCGACTTAACAAATAAGGGGTATTTTTATAAATACTTTCTTTGTCGTAGTACATCGTTAGATTCTCAATTCCATGCTGTGAATCATACAACTTACACATATCAGTTGCATCATTTTCAGCCTTATAATGTTTTAACAAATTAAAAACATCATCATGATACGGGTGAACATCACTAGAACTCGAACTTGGGCCACTTAGTTGATTTAGAAATTGATCCCGGAACTTCTCGACGATCTCCTCGTTAGACCCAGAGGACCTTTCACCTTTTACCAGATTTACAGATATTAATTTTATAATTGTTCTGTGCCTCCGCTAAGAAATATTGTCAATCGAGAGGGAAGCCGGAGGCAGAACTCTCCGGATCTCTCTCTACTGCTGCATCCGAACAAGAGTAGAAGAACGGGGAGGGGGGGCTTTTTAGTCTTTATACCGGAAGGACGGGTTTCGGGTCGGGTCGGGTCGGGTCGACCCGACGATGCCAAATAAAAGGGGAATTCTCGAAATCCCTAAGGGCGCGCTTTGTCTCTCTTGGCGTCTGCATCGCGTGGGGTCTGAGGGCACGGAACCAACCAGAAGGAGGAGGAGGAGAGATGGCGACGATCGATCGTGCGAACGACCCGATGATGGCGGAGGCCAAGCGGTTCATGGAGGACTACTACAGGACGTTCGACGCGAACCGGGCGGACTTGGTGAAAGCGTACCGGGACGAGTCGGTGGTGAACTTCAGCGGCCGGATGATCGAGGGCAAGGAGGCCATCGTCGCCAAGCTCACCTCCCTTCAGCAGTGCCAGCACCAAATCGGCCACATCGACTGCTATCCCTTGAGGCAAACCGGCGGCGTGATCGTCATCGTCTCCGGCTACATGTGGCTTGACGGCAAGCCGGACGACCTCCTTTTCAACCAGGTCTCTCTCTCTCTCTCTCTCTCTCTCTCTCTCTCTCTCTCTCTCTCTCGGTTGATATGTTTTTTTGGTTTGATTTCTTTTTTGAGCGTCGAAGGATGGGTTGTTTGGACACCAACTTGGGGGTGATCCCTTCGTGCATTGTTGAAAGCAGAGTGTCTGTTTATATAAGATTTTATGGCGATCCGAATTGTAAAGTTTCAGAAGTGATGCCTAAAGAAAGTTGTTATGTCTTGTGAATTCTTTGCAAATCTCTCTATCAATTCGTTTGATCATTCGTATTTTGCATACTGAGGGTCGTGTATCTGATTCTTGGCCCACAGACGTTCCATTTGATGCCAGCACCAGCGGAAGAAGGAGGAAGCTTTTACGTGGCGCAACAAATTTGGTCGGCCTATGATTTCAACAATCATCGGGCCGCCTTGGCTTGATCGCGAGGAATGTCCAAAGACGAAAGAAGAAGGCGGCCGGGGGCTTTACTTTTCGGAGGCGGCCGGGGGAGTTGAGTTTCAGCCTTATGTGTTTTTTTTTTTTCGGTGTTCTAGGTCTACTGCGGTAGTGTCTGGTAAATAAGATTGTTTTTACTTAGACCATAGTTGTTGATCTTGTGGTGTGAGTGTTCATGGTATCATCAACTGATTTTAGCCCACCATCTAGCTAGGTCGTTCCTAAAATTGTAGGCCAGTACCTCCTTCCACGGCCTTACATTTATCCTCTCTCTGCGGATTCACTTGGGATTGCGCTCTGCTTTGCTGTTTTTAAATCCTGGAGAGTTGGATTTGATTCGCTTGAATTTGTCTCAATCTATCGTACTGGAGAAGAACGATTAGGGTCATATTCTATCCTTTCTGCAGTGCATGTTCAGATTGAGTCTGCCTTTGTCAGATTGCTATTTCTTGTTCACCGCTTTATATCTTGATATGATAGGCTCGCTGTTTTACTTAAACCATTGTTGTTGATCTTGTGGTGTGAGTGTTCATGGTATCATCAACTGATTTTAGCCCGCCATCTAGCTAGGTCGTTCCTAAAATTGTAGGCCAGTACCTCCTTCCACGGCCTTACATTTATCCTCTCTCTCCGGATTCACTTGGATTGCGCTCTGCTTTGCTGTTTTTAAATCCTAGAGAGCTGGATTTGATTCGCTTGAATTTGCCGCCTGCCGGCCAGCCTCGCGACCTCAACTTGGGGGTCCTCTTCTTTGCATTAAATCGCATCATATTTCATATCTCCTAATGACAATGATATCAAGTGATACATAATTTACTGCCAACTTTGGTCATTATTAATATGCATTGAACTAGATCATTGCTTGTGGTTGGTCATTTGGGTCATATATGGAAATGTCATGTCCACTTCAGTTCATCCCTTGGCATTTTTCAACCAATTCAGTACTTCTCATTCAGAGGATGCTTAAGAACTTGTAGGAGCTCCCATGTGATTAAAGATCGGGCAGTAGTCTGTCAATCCTTGTGAAGGAAGTTCGGATGATGTTCATGGCATCTGTTGAAATTCTTGGTAGTTGTTTGATGTGTAACTGATTTGGCTGTTTTAGATATCGAAACATAGACATCGGTATGTTTAGGCAGGAAGGTGCTCTTGATGCTAACTGATTTTAGTAACGGATGCAACTCTGTTCACAAATAAGAAAAGTAGGGATCATAGTTAGAGAAGTTTATTTGACTCTATTTGATTAGAACATAGCTGAAGTCTAGTTTTCTGAGATGCTAGCTTTTGTATTTCTGACATGGCTTGAGACATCTTTATTTGGGTTCATAAGCAATTGAAATGGAAGATGATTCTTTGGTTGAACTGGCTTTTTTATCAGCGGAAACCTCCTTCTAATACATAAATTCATACCAACCGGTTGATTATCATGAAGAATCATGGGCTTTTCTGTCGAAACTTGATTACCTCTTTCTACTTCACTAGGAATTTGGGGTATACAGCATCTCAAACATGTGCTGATCTCTAGCTTTTTAGAATCAAATTCAAGTTCTTCGCTTAATTTTGAGTGGTATACTGATACTGTGTCGATCATCTTTTGTCTTTGCCCTACATTTGGATGAGTGAGAGCACCTCTGCATGCATTCATTATGTTGTCACTTCATAATAATACATTTGGATGAGTGATAGCACCTTTCCGAAGAACGATACGATTCTGCTCCCCCTTCATACTACCAAAAAAATAAAAAAATAGATTCTCGCCTTCTTTTGGCTTTCATACGCTGCCACTAACCATACCAACGAGACAAATATTTCATTAGCTAATGCTAATTTCTTGACGAGGGAAACTAGATTTAGTTAGATGTATTATTTAAACTGGCTTGGAATATTATTTCACTGTAGTGTAATATAATGAAGAAATTATAAGTTGCTGCCATAAGTGGACATTTTATTTTCTTGGTAAGGCAATTGGAAATAATTATGCAACTCCACATATACCAAAAGTGGAAATTCTGTTTTTCCTTGGCAACCATAAATGTTTTTTCCTAATAATTTTTATGACTAGGAAGCCCATCTTGTATAGATGAATCTTGAATGCATGGTGGAATTTATGATTATGGAATTTTGGTTCTCTCCTTTCTTTTCTAAAACGAAAACCGGTCCTAATTCCCAACTTGCTATTGAAGAAAAAAGTGCAATATTCTATCGTTTTCTACATAGAAAAATATGTCTTTTATTCGAATGGAAGATAATCAATTTTACTATGAATTAGTTAATGATTATGAATAAACGAATTGAGCCAGTTTTGTCTGTTGTTCCTAATCATCTTTAAGATCAACTATCCAATCTTTTAGTTTAATTTTCTCGGTTGTCATTGTAATTTTTCACTTTAATGGGATCTGTAGTGGTTGGTAAACTTAGTTTAGTTTACAGTTTTTGGTTTGTATGTAGCCGCTAACTTTGGTGTATATTTCTGTAAGCTCGTAGCTAAGGAAAGACTTCATTCTTTTTTTATTATGATTTTCTTTTCCATATTTTCCTTAAGTTTTTCAAATTAAATTGTGGCGTGACTCTTGATTGATTTCTTTCTGCTAATTTCTGGAATAACTTAATTACCAGAATCGTGATGTCTATACATTTTGTCCTTTTCTTTTTAGGGGTGCTGTTAACAAGTATCCCAAGGGATTTGTTAAGTTGGAAATAACTCAATTTTCTATGTATTAATTATGCAAAATACGAGTGCAATCAATACATTGAAAACTATCAAATTTTCCTTAATTAATCGCTTAACAAGTGTTCCTAAATATTGATTGAAAAAATAAGTGCGCCTTGGACATCCGTTAATAATATCCTTCTTTTAATTCTTATGGTTTGCGCAACCTATGATGAGAGGAAGCTGCTGCAAGTTACACGTGGCAATGTCAAAGGACAAAAGCAGGAATCAAAATCATTTCACCAAAATCGAAATCATGCTCCCTTGTTTCTTTTCTTAGGTGAAGGCAATGGATGTACTCATGACATCAAGTGATTCACATCAAGAGACAGATAGATTAGCTGTTTGGGAGTATGGTTCAAATAAAATAAAACGCAAACAAAGATAAAACTACGAGCACTGCATATCATGCATAAATTTAATTACAAGTTATCTGTAACGATGATCATTATCAAATTCTGTAAATTAAAGTGAACTCTCAACGTTTTATAAAGCAACGGATGCGATATCACATCGATTTATATCTCGATTTTGTAAATCAATCTTAGTATGTACTTATTGTTATTTTAATATTGATATGGGTAAAAAAAAAAGAAATTATAATGACACTAGGGCTTCGTTCGTTTGGCGGAAAATGTGACATTTTTGGAAAATATTTTCCGAAAAGTCATTTTCCTAGAAAATGGTATAATTTTCCAGTGTTCGGCTGAAATCTGAAAAAGTTTCAGAAAATATTTTCCGGTGTTCAGCGACCGGCGGTCCGCAGCGGTGACCGACAACCGATGGCCGGCGGCGATGGCCTCGACGACCGGCGGGGAAAGAAGGAGGCCGGCAGAAAATGTTTTCCTTTTTTCAAAAGATGAAAACATTTTCCATACTTTTTTTTTCATGTTTTCACTCATTGAGGGAAAATGTTTTGCGAAGTTAGTTTATTTTCTGCCCCCAAACATCGAAAAATCCGGAAAATATTTTACTGAAAAATATTTTTCACAAAACGAACGGAGCCTCGATAGGATATAATCTTCCCTCAAAAGTTTTCATGGAAGGCCTCCTCCATCCAGGTGTCAAGAAAATGAATTGTGACCGGACCCCTACTCAAAAACCTTTTTTTATTATTTTCTTTTTCAAAAGCTTTTGTTGTGCTGGACAATGAGATGCTTCCTTTTAGATTCCCACTCTTAAGTTTAACTTAAGGTTTTATATTGTTTTCTTTACTTTAGTGACAGATTCTCCCTCTCTAATTAATCAAACAAAACATGGGAAGTAGGCCCTCCTATGTAGGTGGCAAATGCTTGTTCTCTTCCTTAATCCTTGTTTTATCCGTCTGCTAACACCAACAAGGAGGTTAATAAACCAAGAAAAGAAAAAGTCATCGCCATTATATATGTCACCCAACAACTCATACAGTTTTCAACATCTTCCTCTCCTTCTCTTGTCCTCTTTCTTCTCTCCTTCATCCCCATCTTCTTCATCTGCATTTTCTCATTCAAGAACCTTTGGCTTCTTTGAAACTCCGTTTGGGAAGAGAAGGGCCATGTCTGTGGAGACGAGGGAAAGATCGTTATATGAAGGAAAGCTTCCAGCTTCAACCATGGTCAAAGCCAAAGGGTTGGCCTCTCTTGATGGAAATACTCCATATGAGCCCTGGCCAGCGCAGTTTCCTCAGCAAAAGAAGATGATGACTTGAGGAATTGTTTTTCAAATCCTCTAGGCAAGTCTGATGCTTGGCTTTAAATTTAATTTCCATCATTTGCTGGTTCTTTTCCCGTCTTGAAACGAACTCGGTTTCCCAGAAAGAGTTGAGATGAGAGTTAGAGAATAAAAAGTAAATTAGTTGCTAAGAATTAATCCGTAGATTTCATTGGTGATGTGTAGTTTTCTTGGCAAATGTCTGTCTGTCTTTCCTCTTTTGACATTGTAAAATCAGCAAGAGATACTCCCTTCCTCTCTATGTAATACCCAAGAAATTTACTTCCTTGCGCGTATCTTCCCCCACGTTCTTTTTGTCCACTTGCACTCATCGAATTCTAATTATCCTAATTCAGCTTGCGAACCTTCCATGTTTAGGTATCATGACGTTATATACATGACAAGCAGTATTTTATGGACATAATTCTGTGAGCATTTATATGCACGTTATCTTTTGTTTCATGTGATATGGAAAGAGTTTATGCATGCTCCTAAGAATGTGTATGGACCTTGTGTAGCAGCTAGTCCTCCATAACCTAATAAGGCCTTCGTTCAGATCCAAAGCTCAAAATTTTCACTTTAGAGGATTTTCTTTGAGTCATACAAATCACTTGTGGTGATGATTTACTACATCTTATTAAGTCCTTGTGGAGCCACATACAGCCTAAATTTGCAAGAGATCTATTTCATTAACTAGAGCAATGGAGCATATGATGTCTCACTCATTGATAAATGATGCAAAAGATCTGACTAATAGAGCAAGATATTATATGATAAATTCTCAAACTTATCGCACAAAAAGTAAGGTTTCTACCAAACATTGACTTTTGATGTAGTTAGTCGTGGCTCGTCGGGTATCGTGCTGTCGGCAAATATGAGATGACATCTCACTATCAAAATCAAAACATGGGTTTTTGTTTTTTCAATGAACAGATTTTTGCAGGGGTATATGGAAATTAGTAATTCCTGGCATGCTTCAGATGGATGAGGAAAGAGAAAGAAATTGCAGGCGAAAGTACATCTATACAAGCTTTTGACAGTGACCAAATCCTCCATGTCAATCTCCAATAAGTGTGCAATCTCTCGTCACCGAGTCTAGCAAAATAAGCAACTATCTAAGAGGCAAAACAAGGAAGGATAACTAAAGATTATACCCAGCTCAAATACCGCTCATTATCAAGCAAGCAAGATGATTTGCATAAGTCCACGGAAATAGATTAAACCGAGGTCCAAATATTCATGTTGACAAGAAAGTAGCCATCTATCCAATACAAGTTAATTTCCTTTTACAATCTGTCTTATACTACTTTCTACTATTTATACACACCACCTCTTTCCCTCACCAGTACGGAACTGCACGTCGAATCAAGGAAATCAAATTGAAAAATTCACAATCCCATTTAAGTTTTCTTTATGAAAAGAATAAAGGAAGGAGAATGAAAGTCAAGAGCCAAAGTATTTCCTTCTCTCCCAACTGTGTGTCAATGGGGAAAGCCAGATTCGGGGGTACGGATCTGTAGCTTTCTGAAATTAAGGCTGTGTTCGTTTGCGGAAAAATATTTTTCCGGAAAACATTTTCCGCGTTTTCCGGTGTTCGGGGGCGGAAAATGTTTTCCGTGGGAAAACATTTTCCTTCCCCACCCCCAAATCCTTCATTGTTTTGAGGAAAATGATTTCCTCTTTTCACAAAGAGGAAATCATTTTCCCCAAAGTGAAGGCAAAATTGCCCATGGGAGGGAAAATGTTTTTTGTGGGAGAGGAAGTTGATCGCCGGTCACCGCCGTTAGCCGCCGGGTCGCCGGTCGCCGCCGCCGCGCGGTCGCCGCCGCGCTGCGCGCCCGCCGCCGGTCGTCGCCCGCCACGGCCGCCGCGCCGCTGCGCCGCCGGCCGCCGCCGCCGCCGCCCACCGGTCGCCGCCGCCGATCGCCGGCCGCGCCGCCGCCGCCCGCCGATCGCCGGCGAAAAATATTTTCCGAAACTTTTTCATATTGGTCGCCGAACACCGGAAAATTATGTTCCGGAAAAATATTTTCCAGGAAAATGACTTCCGGGAAAATATTTTCCAAAAGGAGAATATTTTCCGCCAAACGAACGGAGCCTTAATGGAACTTAGAAGTTGTCATTGGCCATATATTAAGGATAGGGATGCCGATTCGACTTTAGTATATTTAGCGTTTGCATGATTGAAATCCTTTGGTTAGTCACCATGTGTCCATCTTAGTGGGAAAATGACGTGCAACTTGGGAAAAGAGGAGGAAAAACATTTAATAAGGATGAGAGCCATCATCAGATAATTTATTATTGGTTGATGACTCATCAAGAATCGTGACGGGTTACAATTTTCCTTGGGATAAAAAAAAAGAAGACTAATATCATTAAAAAATCCAAAACTAAAATCCTAACCCAATAAATACGCGTCATAAACACGTAAATTTTTCATGTTAAATTTGTCATTCTTCGCGTCGGACTTATCTTGCAGTTGTCTGCCACGTACATATTGATTGCCAGCACAGAGTAAAATTGGGTAGGGCACTGGTTTGGATTTTTTCGCAAGACGAGAATTAATTTGGAATTAATGTGCCGTGTCAATACTAATTTATGATTTTTCGTGATATTAGAAAAAATTCTTTTTAAAGGATTCACCGAGAAAGATTCAGATAAATATGAGAAGCAAAAGCAAAGAAAACAAGAACAGGCACACCTGGCTTAAAGATTTTGCTCTGATCTACCTTTTTCTCTTAAACCCCACTTAGAGAATTTGAGGTTTTTTTCTTTTTTGTTTTGTTTTGGTTGAAGAAGAATTTGAGTTTGACTTGTGGCATCTTAGCTTAGGTGGCAAGCATAACACAAACCATCATACACAACAATGAATATCTTAAGAATATCTTATTCTTGAAATTAGCTTGATGTCTCCTTTTCACATGAAGATTGATGGTGGACATGGCGGCTCGCGCAAAAGCGCATTGGACAACTCAATAATGAGCTTTTAGCTAACAAGATTAATGTGGGAAGCCTGCCTTACTTTAAACTTTAAAGTGCCGCTCCACCTTTTCTGGATTAGGTTAAGTTGTCTTTCAAGGGTAGCAGAGGTTTATTTTCATGTCCACTATGGTGGATAAACTTAATATATTTATACTTTAAGAAATAAATGAAGCCATGAGGGTAATCTTGTGTATGCCCTGTTTCACAGCTTAAGAAGAAACCAAATTGTATGCCAATTCCCTTCCTTTTCCCTTCAATCTGTCACACAAGTGACCACCATGGGAATTTGGTTCTTCCAAATTTTGCAATCTACATGAGATTAGTGCATAGAATAGCACCTGAACAGTCGAGCACCTGAACAGAAACGTATACTTTCATTGGCGAAAAGTTTGAAATCTGAAGCGAAAATAGGATTCCCATTCCATGAAGGCATGTTACAGTTTAGATACTCTTGTTTGAAAAAGGAGAACTTCTAAGCTGGCCAAGATTCCTCAATAATTTACACATCAATCATTGGGTAGCCTATGTGATAAGTTACAACAGAGAAGGAAAAAAGAATCACGTGTGGAGATGGTGCCGCCTGTCAACATAACAAACATATGCTTCTGCTACCGGCTCAAATCTCGCTCTTCAAAGCCTCTAATAAACGATACGATAGCAAGGTGCTCTGAAGAATAGGTCATGAAAGATGCCAATATAAGGCCTCCACCAACCATCAAACCCAACCTGTTGAAGGACGCAAAGCATTCATGAATTTGTTGTTCTTGCAATCCTCACTCGAGCGTCATAGCAACAAAATAGTAACGAACATAAAAGCAACATCATAAACAATCAAATTTCTGATCCCAAATGATATAGCAAGCAACAGATCAGCATGAAACTTGGTGTAATTTAAATTAGTAAAGAGAATTGGGGCATTTTGAGAATCAAACCAAAAGAATTACCTCGCAAAAAGAGCAGTAATCCCGAAAATGCATGGCAAGGCTGGGGCCACCATTGCCAAAAATGCCATGCCCGACCAGTAACAGCAGGTAGCAATATCACAAGAAGATGTTTGCCGTTGACGACCTGCACAGTATAAACGACTCCTTGTTAATATAAAAAACACAAAATATGCACATCAAATGCCAATGCTCCAAGTCAATGAACCTTTCCCAGATTCATCGTCAGCATGTGCAACCGTTTGAACTGCTGCCGCCCTTCCAAGTTTATATACCAAATGGAGATAACCTCTGAACAATACAAAGAAGATTGCAAATGTCCACTCATACATCAATAGCAAACCAGTCCACGGCATTACTTGCCGAGGCACAACTGCGAGAGCCAGTAAGAGAGACACAGCAGCTGCAGCGAAACATACTATTACGGATATCCCACCCAAATACACAGGGATCTTTGACGGCGCACCATTTGAGAACTGTTAGATAGCAAATCAACAAACTTATAGTTAGAAAGATCACCACTGATGCTTTAACAGAAGCATGAGCAAATTACTGTGAAATCTAACATTTTAAGGTGTTGTCAATGAAATATTAGTAAAATAAACATGGAAAAGGAAGTAACCTGCTGGTTAAAAGTAATGCCAGATGCCGTAGAAACACCAGAATATGCGTATGCTCCATTAAATCTGATTCTATGTAAAAGCTGTCTAATGTTATCACCCAATGAACTTCTACAAGAACGCCATTGCTGCAATACCTACAACAAATCAAACATCAAATAATCAAAATGACTATTCCTAACGAACAGAATGTCAAAGGAGAATAACCAAAGGATTTCCATGGACTTCCAACCTGGGGAAGAGATCGGTAGTACCCAAAGAACAGAAGGCAAAGAGGTAGCAGAAAAAGGAACTTCACTAGAAACACATCATTAGGATTTCTTCCCCCTCCAGTTCCAGGAAGGGAATCAGCAAGTTGTTCCCTCACATTCTGTCATATGCAAAGTTAAACGAGTTTCTATCACCAAACACACAGATCACTGCATAAAACAATAACAGAATTCATGCAATTGCACAACCGTGCATGGTGTCTGTCTCCCTTTCATCTAAACAGCGCAAAAACCACCAGAGAAGAAGTTGGATATGATACCTGCCACACATCTACAGGTTTCAGAAGCCAGGATGTCCACCAGTCCCAAGGTTTAAGGGGTCCAAGTGTATAGTGAATAACCCGGAGTTCACTTTCATCGACCATCCACTGTTCAGCAACATCAAGGACGTCAGTATCAAAACACAGTCAGCAATAGAACTGCATTTGTGCCTACATTGTGTAAGTGCTATATTGTGCATCCACAAAATGTAACAAGATCCTATATCAAAGTTTCTTTTTTCTTTAGGGCATTCATTTTTCGGGTATCATAAGAGTGAAGCCATCAAAGGTTTTATTAGGCGCAACTACAAGAACAAAATAAACCTCAGACAAGACCTACAGAAAACAAAAAATATTGCGATGTTTTTCAGACAGTAAGGGCTCATTAAAATGTCATGAAAGACGCACCTACCCCCAAAACACCAACTCTAAAAGGGAAATAAAAAAGGATGGAAAGAATTCCAAGAAGAAGCAAATACACCCCTACTTTCTTATATACAATCACCATGCCGATAAAATAATGTCTCAATGAGCCACCTTAGTGACTTATTTTCACATATAAGTAGCCATACCTTGTTTGCAAGCATGTAAAGACCAACATCTGCATTGTATAGAGTAGAAAGTCGCTCCATTTCAGGAACTGGTCGAGATTTCAACACCTCTGGCGATAAATTTGGCTCGAAAAGATGTGCATTGGCAAAGTCGCTATAGTACGAATTTAGAAAACCCTGATCACCTGTGGAATGAAAAATGTCAGAGACAGGGAGAAGAACAGAGTGTATAAAATAAGAAGATGTACAAAGCTTTCTTTTATTGTGAGGTTATACAAGGACAAAGAAATTGAGACTGTTTAAAGACAACCACAACAAATCTAATAGTTCGAAGTAAGAAAACTAGTGATCCAATTGAGACTGAGTAATTTTGCGCCACTTGTGAACACTAGAAGCCAAAATCTGTCTTGCCTGCAAGAAAATCTGGGCATCTTGACCCTATTAGACTCCATCACATGCATGTCCTTACTCAAGAAAATTAAATTGTGACAAAAACTCCATTTCCTTCTCATCTCAACAAAGTCTACTTCATCCAGTATTTCATAAGTAAGGATAACTGTTTAGATACGTTGGTACAAACTCATCCTCGGTCCATAATCAAGTCAAAATCCAATCATCATAAATCATCGGAGCTAACACACTCAAACTAACTAAACAAAATAAATTGACATTACATCACCAGCCATCACCATTCAGAAAAGACAATTACCTCCAGTGTAAGAATACAGGGTTTGCACTTTGCCCATCATATCATTAAAAACAGTCTCAGAAGGTTCCACTACCATGACTCCAGAATTAAGCCTCTCTGAGTGCTTCAAGTTAGCACAGAATTTCACGCATTTAAACAGATCCTCAATACTTTTAACCACAATAGTATCTGCGTCCAAGTATACAACTGCACAAAGAAGGGAATGTTTTCCTCCATATGAGAATATAAGAACAATATCTGTACGCACATCATCTATGCATGATAATCCAAAAACTCAGCCATCTGAGAATGAACAAGTTCACTTTGCTCGTCCATTTTAAGTTGGCATTGTTGCTCCAACAATCCCGAAAAACAGAAAAATGCATAATAGCCACAGTTACCTTTTTTATAGCTAGTCATGTTGAATATTTTCAGTTTGGTGTAGACACCCCAAAACCTAGCTGGACGCTTTTGATTGGGGTTGGCCAGTAGACTGATCTTTTCCACTATCCAGCCATCAGCCTGCACAAGCATCCCAAATTTTTCAAACTCAAAGACCACAAAACATTTAACTCGATCTAAACTGCTTCCGTAATTGTACTCGATGACACGACAAGGGAAAACAGAGGACAGCAATTAACCCAATTAATTTGCTACCACAAATAGCGACAGAACGTAACAGCACCAACCGCAAAGCTGGAGTTACCCAGAATCTTCCATTGCCTTAATTTTCTCAGGAACCAAATTACCCAGTTTGAGTAGAATTTTTTCAATTATAATGACACTGATCAATCAATACTTCTGTTTCCAGGATCCTAGGTGACAAGCCGACCTCGGAGGCGTCATCTTTTAAAAAGCCATTCCAACTTAGCAAATTATGCACTTAAATCAGCAAACACTCAGCAGAACATAGCACTAAGCACAAAATCAGAGTTTCTTAGCTCCTTAAGCCACCTCAATTTTCTGAGAAACCATCAAATCCTAGAGCATGATCCGCTTCAACATGCTGCCGAACCGGATGCGCAGCTGACTACTTCAAAAGCAAAAGCAAAGACAATACTTTTTTTTTTCCTTCAGCGGACTACATGCGTGTGTACATGGAGAGAACCTTGAGGAGCTTCTTGGCGTAATCGGAGACGCCGTCGGAGACCAGAACCACCATGTCCTTGGTGGCCCCGGTGTCGCGGATCGACTTCCCCAGCACGCGGACTCCCAGCAAGAACTCATCGCCGTACAGGAGCGTGACGTACGCCTCGCCGCCCCGCGGGGAAGGCTGGGATCCGATCGGGGCCGCCGGACGGACCGAGAGCAGCAGGATCGCGGCCGCGAGGAGGAGGAGCGGGGCACCGCCGCGGCGGCTCATCTGGGAGCGGTGCGGGGAGGCGGCGGCGGTGGGATTTTCTCGAGAAAATCGGGGGCGGCGGGGGAGGAGATTTTCTCGAGAAAATTGGGAGAGTGTTTGGTTTTTTTTTTTTTTTTGAATTTTGGGGATTTGCAGTTTTGGTTCCGCTTCTTGACGCCGGCATTGACCCTTCTTCTTCAAGCGCGTGAACAACACGGGAAAAATGAAAAATGCAAAAACCAAAAAAAAAAAATTGTCTTTTCATGGAAATATCTAACTTTTGTTTCTTCCAAGAAAAAGATCTAGAAGCATTTTTTGGAGCTTCCATTTCTCTGGGATTTTATATTTGAATGTATTTTTTTTGAATGGATAATACTCAAAATATCTTTTTTTTCTTCTCAATCTCTATATTTTGATTGCGCTAATTTGTCCTTGCAACTCGTCCATGAAGTCTCTATAAGATTCTCGAATAAATATAACAAAATAACATCTGCAGATTACAATAAAATGACTCTAACCCGTTTCCTTAAAGTAAGTCGCTCTGCACTTTATCTGAGGCGGTTTTCAACAGTTGGGCTGTTCGGATCTCAGACAGACCCCAATGTGTAATGTAGGACACATTGGGGTCGACGATGTGCGGTCGGCATGCTCGCCCTTAGCACGCCTCCTCTTTATGCCCTTCTGGGATGGCCTTCTATAGGTCTTATTGCTACTCTACCAAAACAAAGCTAAAAGATACTATTGATGGTGCCCTCCCTCTTTCTTGTTTGCCCATTTACATGGTCCACGAGGCCCTTTGTTCGGCTCAAAACATGGTCTCTAAAAGCGATCAATGATATCAACAGCACAACGATGACAAATGAGCACATGGTGATCATGGAGGAACAGATGGTGCCTCACTCATCACCATGTTTGTGCTTTCAATGATTATCACATGCGTTTCCACTGAATTTTCAATTTCAAGTTGCTTGGAAAGCTTGTCTAAGACATGGGCCACAGTCCCATCTTTCTTGTTTTGCTAGTCTGACATCCAGTTTCAGTGATAATCAAACAATGGCAAGTGATTATATTCTGATAAAAAAAAAGAACAGATCTCCAAAATTGGTAAGAAGAAAGAATCTCAAGACTTTATTTTTGGAATCAATTGTGAAATTTACATGTACCGGGAGAGAAACAAAATTTTTACGGCTTCGGTTACAGCACAAAGAATGAGATCATTGGCATATGAGTGAGAAGGAAAAGGGGGTGCCTCTTCTCACCAAACAGAAAAAGGGGGGCAACAACAAAATAGAGAACCCCAAAGAAACAACCTGCACAGTTAATTTACCGCGAAACTGGTCCGACCCTCTCTCTTTCCTAAGGATAAATGGTAGTTTACCTGTCATGAGATTAACTGTCTAAACAAAGATAAGAACAATCTCCTCCAACCTTTTAAGTGCTTGTCAAGATTAAGATCGATGGCTGATTGTCGTATCCTCGATACTAGGTTGGGGCACCTAACAGTGCAGTTCCTGATGCGTTCCCATCATCAAGGAAGCTGCTCGATACCGGCTGCAAAGAAGACAAGAGGTGTCAGTTCCCTTACATCCATATATCTATTGTACATAAAGTAGTACTAGTTTTCATCTGCTATATGCTAGACTTGATGTATGGCGTACAAATAGCCACAGTGTGATTCAAGTTTTAACTTAAAAAAGCCCACACAAAACACGTTCAAAAACCGAGAAAGCACAGTTCGACCAAAAAAAAAAAAAACTGGTAAAGCATTCTCCAATGAATATTAGGAAAGAAACATTAGTGGAAACGTGTAAGATATTGACATTCAAAAGAAAATGGTTCTTTCAGTCCTGGGAAAGCAATGCATTCTCCAATGAACATGCATCGGCGGATTAGAAGCATGTTGAGATGCTCTCTCGAGGCCACAAATTCATGTGAATCATGCACCTGTCTCTTGACATGGCCACATTTCTAGAGTTGAGTATTATTAGAGGGTAAAAATGATGGGGAAGGTTTTATGGCTTCAAGATCATCTTGTATGAAGAGAAAGGTTTACTTTGCCTATTTGCAACAAAAGGCTTGGGGAATCTCATTTTGGTTTAACCACTATATGATATGGGCACCAGAAATGGCATATTGCTGCTAAGAAGACAGACAGAACAGAACCATATATAAATTAGGAAAGGCTGGAGTACTTCACAAACAGGAGCCACGTGTATCGGTAGGTTAATTGTCTTTTATGTTCTATTTTTTTATGAAATCTTAGTCTGGAGGAGGGAGACTAATTTTTCCCACACATAAAATCTTCAGCGTAATGCATGTAGCTTATACAAGAAGTTTTGCAAATGCCGAACTAAGTTGTCTATGATTCACTCCAAAGGTTCAGTTTACTCGGCCTGAACAATCGGTTGCTTATTGGGCCAGTATGATGGGGGTTGAGAAAAAACAACACGAGCACTTGAGGGGGTCAAAGATAAATCCCTGTCAAAGCATTCAAAGACGAGGACAAATTATTCCTCAGGTCCAGTAAGGATAGGATTTATTGATATTTCCTCAACAAGCTCGGCAGTCTTCACTAGACTCGCTCAATCATTCTTTTATCTGCTTTTCAAGAGTCAATTACTCTTAAGAGAGTTTTAGTATCCAAAACCAAGTAAAATCTGTATGCTTTATAGCAGCAAATAATGCAGTAACTCCAAGTATCAAAAGATTTATTGAGCAAGTTGTGTTGTTATATCCACAACTGGACTTGCTCAAAAAGCTCAAGTCAACTGCCTTTAGTGGATTAGGGGACAAGAATTGAGGATCATATTATTTGGTCCCTCATACATCAATTCACTAAATAAGATAAACTTGATTGCATTCTATTGACTTCTGTTACCAGACAGGCAAAGTAAAAACTCGGAGTTACCTGTCCATTAAAAAGTTGAACAAGGGAAAATGGCTCTTTCTCCCGCATTCCACCATTTTCTTCAAGCATCCTTTCCAAGTCCTGCCAGTCAATCAATATGTCATCTCTAGTTTCAGAGGATTCACTAAAAAATTGATTAAAAAAAAAGATTATGTTGACAGAGTGAGGCAAGGCAGCATTTGAAGGTGTATGGACTTACATGATCCCCACATAAGCAGAAACCAAATCAAGAAAACAAGACAAAAAGTATATGGCTCCATGCTTTGTAAATTAGTTTTCATGAATAGCATTCACATACTGAAAGAAAACCAGATAGAGCTTGATGACAATAGCTCACATGTGAAAGAACAGAGTCTAATCCGCATTACATATACCATTTCAGCCCAGGATAGAACTTAAGCTCAACAGGTTGACATTGACATAAATGAAGATGATAGGAAAGAGACGAAGGAGATGAGCAACCATCTGTGGAAAGGGCTGCGAGAAACAAGGGACTCCGAGGACAAATGGAAAAAGGGTACTAAAAAATCAAGAGAAGAATTGGCTAAGAAAGGTATTATGATGATAAGAGAGGACATAGACTTTTCCTCAAGTATTATAAGGAAGAAGCTAAAAAAGATACAGTGGTATGATAAGCTCCTAAGAATAGACTTGTAACTATATAAGTGACGTTCTATCATTCAGTCCACCTGCTGTTAAACAGAGGAGGATTTAACTGTATATTTAACTGTATAACGACACACATAAAATTAAAGCTATTAAAGTAAGCTGGACACCTCCAGATCTACCTTTCCAGTCAAGATTTCAAACTCCAGCAACTCGTCGACAATCTTTTCGAGAACTCGACGATGTTTCTGTAACATTTCCTTTGCTTTGTAATAAGCCAAATCATACATCTGCAAAACAAGGATCCATCAAAGAAGGAACATCAAAGAATCTCGCAATCAACCAGAGATTTGCTGCTCTTTCAATTCGGACTATCGGATATAGTAAGTCAAATAAAGCCTCATAGCAACAGACACATGCCTTTTCAACTTTAGCTGCAATCTCATATTCATGGTTGTTCCCCATGCTCAAAGCTGTAACCTAGTGAAATAGAGACATACAACCAGAATTAAGCCAAAACGCATTAAAGATTCCCAGCTGGAACATGAAGCTTGAATACATAACGGTATTGTTGAGTTTGATCATCAATGATTTATTTTACGATCATAAAGTGCATGCAAAATAGAACAGAGAAGTACCGCATTACTGTGATAGTAAATTGCAGGACTATCGTCAGGCCCCCAACCGTACTGAATGACCATCCTTGTCGCTATCTGTCACAGGGTATGTATATTAATATATACATCTACATGTATTCAGCTTTCACTGTGAGAGTTTTCTCTCAAAAGTTAACCTAAGGTAGAGAATATCAGCAAATTTCTCAAAGCATAATGTTACAGGACCAACCTCTTGAGCTTGCTTCAGTTCAGAAGAAGAGAGAAAATTCTCTTCCCCAAAAGGAAGTAGAAGTTGTGAAGCAACATACGAACCAAAACAAAATACAAGCTTCTTTTCAAGGTATGATCTTGACTCTGAGTTAGCATTAACAGATCCTTCACTCCGTGCCTTGGTGATCTTTGTACAGCCAATTCCCTGCAAGAAAGGGGTCAAAGCAAACATCTTTATAAGACTAAGGCACTAAAATCCCATAAGACATGCCTCTGCAAATAACTGCCCCTGCAAAGAGGAGAACAAGAACAACCCAGGACACATGTGGATACACTGTTATGTAGCACAATGATAATGTCTGCCAGAATACTCCAATAACAGATAAAGCTATAAATTGACATCTCATGTCAGTGTGTTTGACTGTTTGATATCCAGTTTCATATAAAACTCCCGATGGAGGCCCTTAGATACAACAGCAAGGATCATGACCAACAGAAGCATGAGACTGATTCCCGAGTGCCCAGATAGATAAGGTAATTTACAGGTCGATAGCATGACTGGATGACAATACTACCGAATGAAAAGTTTGATAACGAACAACATGCCAGTGCACATAGCTTGAGAAGAGCCAAAAAGAAAAACATAAACAAGATTAAAATGGCCAACTAACATCCATGAAGGATGACATTCACTGTTCAGCAGTAGAACATAAATCCCTAAACTAAGAATATGGCTCTTGCAGGTACTTGCTCATAAGCTTAGTAAGGTGCATGCTATTTCATTACAAGAACGAAGGCGAGAGCAATAACCTGCCACGAAGATG